AGCATCTCCTCACGTTCAAACTGCGGCCAACTGACGCCACGGGGGCACGCGCGCCACACCACTTGTAAGAGAGACACTGCTGCGCGCCCCCGACGCCCGGGCAATGCCGCCCGGCCGCTCATTGGGCGGCGGGAGCGCGCCCGGATGTGTCATGTGACCCGCAATAGCACAGTGGTGGTGAACTGTAACTTATAATGAACCAACTGTTGAACACACACATGTGAAGGGAGTGACGACAACACAGACACACACACACACACTCACACACACACACACACACACACACTACTCACACCGTGGACTATTATCACATAATATTCAAATGGTCGAGATGAGATGAGATAAGTTAAGATAAGATGAGATAAGTTAAGATAAGATGAGATAAGATGAGATAAGCTAGGATAAGAAAAGATGAGATAAGATAAAATATGAATATGAGTATAATAGCGTATGTACTTTTACTTCATATTCAGCATGTAGTTATGGATATGGTTTTTATTCTATACAAAGCCTAACTGTTGCTGTCTTATGACTTCTTTTATTTTTCTCCAATTGTTCCCTTTCAAGTACCATCTGAATGTCTCGCTTTGTGGCTTCATCATTTCTCTTCACAGACTGCTAGACTTATAAAGACTTACTTGAATACTTGTAACTGCTGTAACATGTTTTTTTAAGATAATCCAGGGACAAAGCACAGCCAAGTAAACCAATGAAATAGTGTGTTGAAAGGATTAACTTAATCAGGTCAAAGCTTTAAGTCTGAAGTCTGGTATGTTTTTATCAATAAAAGAAGCTCCAGCGCACAACTGAAGCTGAACTCATCCAGACACACTAATGAGCCTGTGTGTGTGGAGGGGACGAGGAGAGAGAGGAAAACTGAGCACAGGGAAAAGCAATGTCACAGGGGGTGAGTGGGTGTATTTGATAGAGAAGGTGATCTGGACCACATTTGTATGGCTGATTTGCAAAACAAAAATTCAGGATCAGTAGGAAGACAGAGCAGAGCGTAACCCAAGCGCTCTGAGATACACAGATATAGCACATATCCTGTACACTGGCAAATCTCTACGTTCCCATCTGACAATAAAATACTATTTGTAGGTAATGGATTTGTCCTAATATTTGAATTTTTGAATTTCTCAATCAACGAATAAATTAATTTATTGCATGATCATGATGTCACTATAGACATAGACTGATGGTCTTATTTGAGACTGCATTGACAATAACACCTTGATAATAGAAATGACCCACACTGGCTAAATACATGGGATAATAATGGTACACTCACCAAATTAAAGTTTGGATTGATTTAGACTACTGCATTGTGCAAATAGTGGAAAACAACATTACAGTTCTCCACAGACATTCTTTTACAAGTCGGAACTCAAATCCAGTAAACATTTGCTTGAAAAATATTAATAATGAATTATAAATGGTTGTCGATTGTTTTTCTGGCACATATCAATAAGAGGATGTTGGATTATAAGTAGATTACAAACTGTTTCTTTTTCCTCCGACATTTTCTTTTCTTTTTACTTTATTGTTTTCTTGTTGAGTCGCAGTGACCTTTGACCTTCTCTGCGCTCCTCCACTAGAGAAGGTAAGTTAGCTTACCGCTAGCTACGCAGCTAGTGAAAGTTCGTTCATCTGTTAATAAAGCAAAACAAGCGACTGTGATGGGGATTCATTCGGTCAACAAACTGAACACACGATACGTGCACTGTCTTTATATGAAGGTGATTTCTCTGCTTTGACTCAGGCGTGTGTTAGCATCGGCTAGCATTTTTGGAAGTAGCACACCGCTTCTTGTCAGCTAACAGTGACGGACAGCTCGTGCAGCGGCAGGATAACCTCGATTGAGACGCTTTGTTGTTCTTCAACAGGTTTCTTCATAAATGTGAACTTTGTCTTCAGCAGAAAACATGACAGGTGTCGAGGGTCGAGTCCGGCTCCAGCTGGAAAACTCACCTCCGGGACATGAAGTGATCGGTGGACCCTCGCAGGTGGAGGTGAGCGCGGCTGAGAGGCCGTCAGAGTCCGGGGAGGGCGAGTCCGACTCCCGCCAGAGAGGCCGAGTCATGTCTCCTATAGCCGGTGTGTACATGAGCCCACACATCTTTAATGAGTGGAATAAAACAGCCACATCACCTTTAAAGACTTTATTAAGGCTGCTTGAAAATGACCGGGTGCTGTTTGTATTTTAAAGGATCATTCTCCTCTTGAAAACATTATGTTGATACTGACTGTGTCTCAGAGCTGGATGAAGATGATGAAGATGATGATGATCGACCGCTGTCATCAGTGGCTGACGTCGCTCTGGCGCCACCCCGCGGTGATCCTGTGGCCTGCAGCTGTGACAGTGAGGCCTGCAGCGGTGACAGTGAGGCCTGCAGCTGTCTGGAGCCGGGACATCTGGAGAGGAGCCTCCAGGCCGTGCTGCTGCAGCTCCTCCTGAGCAAAGCAAATGACTTGATGAATGGGTGGGTGAGGGTCTCTGGTGACCACAATACACTGGCTTTATGTGTTTGACTGTTTCTTCCACCTTAAAGGGGCAATTCACCGCAAAATGAGAATTCACTCATCATCTACTCCTAAATGTCCGCTGTGATCCTCGTACACGTACACACTGCACGAACGTGATCCGGAGGATCCAGGCAGGAGCGGACGTTTAGGCAAAAAATATGGTGTAAATGACACTGTTTCGAGTCGGAATATGAATGTCAGGGCTTACGGACACTTAGATGACACCACAAGACAAGTATGGAGGCATTTTATATGTAGTTTTTTTATATTTGAAGAAGTGGTCATCAGATACTTTTGTGTTCTGACAGGCAGGATCATCTGGAGAGAGAGGCTCATGCTGCTGCCGTACCAAACTTCCTGTTCACCTGTCAGCCTTTTTTCAACTACCTGGAATCCACAGCTCAGATCGTCGTGATGTCCCAGCACGCCCCTCTGCCAATCTACACAAGGGTAAATGTTTCTTAGAGTCATCCTTTAGGATGAAGCCCTTTTAATAGCTTTGGTTTCATTTAGCTCAGTTAGCAGCTTTTGTATCAAGAGGATGTTGAACTAGTGTTTTACATTAATCATTCTGTCTTGTTTGACCATTTTTTATTTCTTTATAATTATCCTTTTTAGTTCATGAAGTTGCTGTACAAAGTTTTGCAGAGCTTTTCCAAGTAATGTCAAGCTACACACTATAAATATTTGAACACTGTGCTGACCGACTAATGTATTTCCCATATTTTTGTTTTCTGTATTTGCCAGTGAAGAAAAATGCTGTCAAAAAGACTGACAGATGGTTTGTTGTATCACACTGTATGCCTTACTTTGAGCAAAAGAAATAGTAAAGATTGATAAACATTGGCATCCTGGGAACACAGAGAATATACACAATAACAGACATGTTAGTGAACATCGTGGTTTAACTGCTACAACTTGACTCTTATCTTCTACTCTGTGTTTGTGTGTGTGTGTGTGTGTGTGTTTGTGTGTTCATGCGTGCAGCTGTTAGACTTCTCTCAGCAGCTGTGTGACACGTTGGAGCAGCTGGTGTTAACCTACGCCAGACAAAGTCTCCTCTGTTTGGATGAATCTGATCCTAACAGGTACAAACACACACACACACACACACACACACACACACACACACACACACACANACACACACACACACACACACACACACACACACACACACACACACACACAGGAACAAGATACATTTAAATTATGTTAGAATTTATGAAATCTTTATATATATGTGTGTGTGTCATTCATATCCTTTAATAAATGTTGTCTGTCCAGGTATCTTGGTCCTTGAGGTACATCTCACAGTACAGTTGATTATTGATTTATGTCCATACAAATATATACAGTATAGCAGTAAAACCTTTCATTTAACTTGGTACTTGTGTAACGTTTGCATACCTCCAAACTGTTCTACTTTTATATTCAGTAATATATTTTTTCAAGTTAACAAAGTCGCTTCAGATGACACAAGCCTGTAATCATCTTTGCAGTGCCTACATTATTAACACCACAGCAGATAAAATCAAGACATTCACAACTCTTACAGATTGCAGAAAGTATAAATGTATTTCGCTGTACATGTTGATTCACCCATTTGTGACTTTCACGACTGTAACCGTCTCATTTCCCCACAGGGATCAGTCTGTTTTCATTTCTTTTACTGTCTAACTCTCCAAACTCTGCGGTCCCAGCATGTCTCACTTCTGCATCGGTCAGAGTCAGCTTGGCCGACTGAGGCTGACAGCGTTCCGCTACTGCAAACCGACTCCGTACCTCGCCCAGGTTGACATAGGCTTGTACAAACGGATGCGGTGGAACGTGGAGACGCTCCGTGACAAACAAAAGCGGGCAGACGAGGAGCAGAGTGGAGAGAGCAAGGAGGAGGCCGAAACAGTTGGAGACACAGAGTAGTGAGTTTCTCCACCTTTTATTTCCTATGTCCTTTCCGTTCTTGCTCGGTCGCTCACTGATGAGAAAAAAAACTTCTGCAATGATGACATGACGTTACGTTAATTTCTTACTGTTGTGTCTGTGTCCCTGTTAGTTACTTCCTGTGCTGTGAGGATGTCCCCAATGCACACGCAGACACTAATGATGAGAGCCAAGGTAACGTGGTGAGGTCGTGGTCCATCGGTCAGTGGGTGCAGGTGAACCCAGACCCTGACACAGAGGACATCTATGACTGGTATACTGAAATACATTCGTCCATTTTATTTTCTGTTGTTGATTTTAACCTAAGAGTCGTTCTACGAAGCCCCTAAAGGGACATGGGAGAAAAGAAAAAAAAGAAACGTATCTCGTGCGCACAAGAAAGTATGTCGCGAGCACGAGAAAGTATCTCGCGAGCACGGGAAGGTATCCCGTGCGCACATGAAAGTATCGCGTGTGCACGAGAAAGTATCTCGCGAGCACGGGAAGGTATCCCGTGCGCACATGAAAGTATCCCGTACGCACGCGAAAGTATCTCGTGCGCACGAGATAGTTTTCTGGTGCGCACGAAAAAGTATCTCGTTAAGCACATGTAGTTGACTGTACGCCTGTGCTCATTAAGATCATTAGCATCAAAGAATGGCTGCAGAAGTGGACTTATTCTCTTTTCTGAAAACGCGAAATATACCTGGCATGCAATACTTTCACGTATTCACGAGATACTTTTTCGTGCGCACCAGAAAACTATCTTGTGCGCACGAGATACTTTCACGTGCGCACGGGATACTTTCTCGTGCGCACGGGATACTTTCTTGTGCGCACGGGATACTTTCTCGTGCTCGCGGGATACCTTCACGTGCTCGCGAGATACTTTCTCGTGCGCACGAGATACGTTTCATTTTATTTTTTTTAACCCATGTCCCTTTAGGGTCTCCGTATCGTTCTCCTAAAGAATTTAAAAAAAAATGTAACCCTGATTCTGACCTCCTGAGAACTGGAGGAGAAATGTGGTCTGGAGCCTTGGTTGGTACCGATGTTCGGCACAGATGATGTGAGGGATTACAGAGCCATTCTTTAACCTCCCAAACTCCTGCGGAAGGATCAACGCTGCCCTAACATTCAATTCCTATTATCAGACATAGTTGATATTTAGGATTTAAAATCAGGAGGATTATGTTAGTTCTTTCTGAGCAGAACCACAACAGCCAATAAGAGAGGCAGGAGCAGTTGACATTCTGAGGCTAATGCCAGCTAGTTTGCTACCATCGACAGATATTATAACTGACTATTAATATCTTGTTAAGTTGTTGACCGCGTCTCCTTGACCATTTTGTCACCCAGACTCATCTTCTGCTTTTGATTATTAACGTTAGAGGAAGTTGTCACTCCACGCCACTCTCCAGTTTGTTTACATCTGCTTCCCCATGAGGTCACAGGCGATGTAAGATGTTGAGTCGCTGCCTGTTGGGAAATAGTCTTAATAATATCCTGTAGTGTGTGATGCATTATTTCTAATCTTGTAGCATGTGCAAAATCAATTTTGATGCAGATCCACATCAGGGTTTTTTTACTTAACAAGATAGGGTGTTTTTGAACATCTTTACTTTTTTGATGGATCTTGATGAAAAAATCTGGCACATTTCGGGAACAGATATCTATATAACTTGGTGCAGACTGATTGAATTTAGGGGACTTGGACTAGGCGGAGGTATGCGCTCTATTGAATGCCTTTCTAGTGTTTGTTTGGTTTTTAAAACTCCTGTTGTCTGAAATTAAATACTTAAATGTTTTGCTACAAAAGAAAAATTCATCACATTCAGGATCAATAATCATTCTTACATAGCTTCTACATGAAAACAAGCTGTATATATGCTGTCTGACATTTGTTTGTACGTGTTAGGATCACGTGTGAGGTCCCTCTGGCCAACTATCACAAGCTGTTGTTCCTGGGCAGCGAGGAGCCGACCAGCTGCAGTGCTACAGAGCTCCTGCAGCAGCTGCTGTTGTCAAACCAGTCAACACAGTGACGCTCGGCTCTGCAGGGAGAGTGTGTGCATCTGTGTTATAGTGCACATGACATCTGTCTTGAAGATTCACACAGTATGTGGAAATGGACCAGTTTAGTTCACACAGGACGTTGAAGGTAAATCCTGAAGCAAGTTAAACATCTGGTTTGAAATTTCATCGCCTCTGTCAGTTTATGTGAAAATGTTTTTATGCTGTGCACTGTTATGAGTGAGAGGTTGTTCTGCACGTTTGGCACTTTAATTTGTTCAGTGTGTTATTTATAGATTTTTTTATAGTTTTAAAAATATTCTACGTTTTAAGTGTTCGCATTTTGCTGTGGTGTAAAAAAATTCAGAAGTGTTTTATTAAAAAAAACATTTTATTTACATTAAACGTTGCCTTGAAGTAATTACACACAATCACAGGTTTCTGTTGTTCAGAAAGTCAAAGACAATAAGGAATTTTTTACACTTTAAAACAAGCTGCCATGATTTGGGCGCCACAAGTGAGAATGCCCAGTTTACTCCAACATGTTTATCATCTTCATTTAAATTAATTACACATGAGCCTCATTTCATGTTTAATAAATTAATATCCAAAATGGCAGATTCAACACCTTACACATTAATAAATGAAAGTGTTTCCCCATAATTCATCCTGCTGTGTTCATTTTGACCGTACAACCATTCAGCTCATCAGTTTCAATAAGTAGACATAAAAAAAAGGCAATTTACTTAGAACAAAGAATAAAATCTACCATTTACAACAAACATCATTCATTCTCTAATTCATTACAAATCTATATCTGACTCTTAAAGGGCTGCTATACTTCTAAATCTCTCAAGTACAAAAGTAAAGTGGAGTTTTCCTTCATTACAGTGATCAGTCTTTAAACAATATACATTAAAAAAAAACTACTAGAGCATGTTTGCGTGAGCACATTTAAAAAAAGTCCAGCTTTGTCTAAAATACAGTGAGTGTAATGCTGCCCTGCCCGGAGGAACAGGAAAGCAGTTTTAATAGCTTCTTCATGAGCTTCGATAAAGAGACTGGACAAACTAGCAATGGTCAGGGGAATTTTCTTCACAGTGGATCAAATAAGATTCTGTCTGATTAGTTGTTAAAGATTAAACACTGGATTCCAAATTTTCTCAGTTTTCACTTCAGCTAATAAACAATTCGGCCTCTATACGGTTTAACACCGGAGGGCGAGACAGCGAGTCAGGAAGTGACTGAATATAAAACATGAATGAGACGGTAATGAGGGCGAACAAATGTCTTATTTTCTGACACCAGTCGCTTGTAGTCTCGAGATGTTCGGTCACATCTAAATTTGTGTTCGGAAATTTGGTTTTCAAAGAATTCCCCAGTCTTTAAACCAGTGACCTGAGCCTGTCTTCAACTCTGACAAACACACAAACATTTACAACAAGTGAGAGAGAGAGAGAGAGAGAGAGAGAGAGAGAGAGTGAGAGAGAGAGAGAGAGACTCACACTAGCTCATCACAGAGTCGACATTGATACAGAAATACAGAAATAATACACAGAATAACCTGATATCTAACCCGGCTCGTTTAATAACAGTCCTCCTCCTCCTGATATGACACAGTGCCTTGACCTCTGACCCTCATAGCAGTGTCAGTTCAAACCTAGAGTCTTGTGTTAAGTCCGCGTCCGATAGAATTACAGACTATCATCTGTCCGTTGCCTGTGACCGAAGTAGCATCATCTATCATGAGAACGTGAGAATCTAAGGAAGACTACACCTGTGGAAAAAAAGTTAATGTGCGGCTACAGAACAGTGACGTCGACCAGAGGAGAAATAACCTTCAGCAGTATAAATCTGATCTCAATCATGTGCACATTAACTCCGTCCTCAGTAGTGCCAGTAGTAATCACCTTTAGTAGGGTGATGTTTCTGAAGATGGCAATAGGGACTTTGTTTCTGGGCCTCGATCGTCAACATATTTGAATCAGTAAACATTGTGCAATTTCATGTAAAGTCAGCTTTCTTTGAGCAATATTCAGTAGCAAGAAATCTCCAGTGTATTCCCACTTTTAAATAAGGTGACACATGAACAGCTCTTGCCTTAAGTAAATGAGCTACAACCAGTGTGTTTACCTTGGATTAAATGTAGCCATTTGGCATCAGTGTGTGCGGCCGACTATGGAAAGAGGTTTTGGCATAAAACTAAGTGTCCAGTTACACCCTGATTGGAGTGATGAATCATGGGACAATAATCACATGGTTTCAGGTGCGTGTGGGTTGAAACGTAATTTCAGTGTTTGTTTCCATGGTGTTGGATAACGAGTGTGAGGTGAGAGAAGAGCTGAGTTTCAGTGAGGTGTGGTTTTGTGTTCGTCTACTTCCACAGCAGAGAAGAAACACGTTGCCTTTATAACTTCATTTGGAGAAAATCTATATCTATTAACCACCCAACGCATCAGTGTTAGATTAAAGAAATATTTGAGAAGTATTCAAACTAAGAATATAACCAAATATTCAACTGGACACTTTGGATAAGCTTCTGTTTGTCCTCAAGTTTTGTTCCTAAATGTAGAGAAGGATTTAAAACAGCATCTCGAGCTTCAAGTTGGTTCAAAAAGTGACTTATTCAGTTTGATAAATCTTAAAACTTACCATTTACTTTGTTGGGGCTGGTAACTAGTTAGTCTTATGATGAAGTCCCTTTTTTTTGCATCAATAAACAGCGCACATACTTGTAAGAAACAGTCGGCTGTTCAGCTGTAGCACCAAGAATTAGCATCTGTGTTAAATGTGCTTGTTCTTAGAAAATCCCTGTGTTGTTCTCAACCTCTTGTCCTATGACTTTTTAATTTCCCTAATTAGTCTACAGCCTGTGACCGCTTCAACTGCAAGTGATACATCTGTCTCAGGTTGCTCCACCACAACACTTTCAAAAGCCTTCAAATAGTTTAAAGAATTCATTAGTTTGAAAAAAGAATACAAATAATTAATCAGGAAAGCCTGAACTCATACATCTAATTTCCTGCTCGTTAATCTTGTCATTTCTCTTGCGACCACTCATTAGATTTGTTTGAGACCCATGGATCCACAGGTTTAAAGGACTGGGCAGTGTTTGATCCTTCCATTGATTTTTTTTTTGTACATTGCGAAAACTATTGATTTGTCTCAGGTGCCAATTTTCTAAAATACTTGGCAATGACATTTTTAACCTTCATTACAATAGGATGGTCATGTCAGTGATGTACTTTATCTTCTTTTAACAGGTATTGTGATGTTATCTGTTCTGGTAATTAGTTTTTCCCAGAGCAAACATTTACTCCATCTTGTAAAACTGTTCTCAGAACTCATTTGCTTAATTGAGAGTATAGTAACAATTGAGGAAGATTAATTGAGCCGCTGAGTAGACATGTGTCTCACCCTGTTTGTTTCTGTCTTATGTATGTGTGCGCGTGTAGACAGCATGTGAGTCATCATCACACACCCCTCAGTGATGCGTCTCCAGCTCTACCACTGTCCACTCTCCCTGTGGCGAGCTTCCAGTCGCCTCTGGAGAGAAACTACTGACCGAGGTGACGGTGGCAGAGGGAGGGGTGAGCGGGGGCAGCAGGGTGGGCCACAGGCTGCTCTCCAGGGGGCTCAGGGTGCCTCCTGCACACCCCGGCATCCGCAGCAGGGAGGAGCAGCCGTCTCCGTTCAGCAGCAGGGTCTGATTGATCAGCTGCTGGACAATGTCCACTTTCTTGCCCCAGTCCAGGTCCAGGGGTGGAGGTCGCTCTGGAGACTCAGGAGGGCAAGGGGAGGAGCTGTCATTATCCTGGGAGGGGGGGCTGGGTGTCTCAGGGGCCTCAGGGGGAGGAGGAGGGTGGTTGTTGGTTGACGGCAAAGAGTCTTGAAGTTTTTCTTCATCCGACATCACTATTTCAAAGTCACTGTCTATCTTTTGATCTGACGTCTCTTTCTTGGGCTCCTTCTCTTTAGATAGATTCAGCTCGTTTATTCCCTCTTCTTCATCCTCCTCTTCATCACTGTTCTCAAGGGCTTCATAGATGGTGCCGAGCCCAGAGGGGGACAGCAGCACGGCCTGACCTTTGTTAGACTGTTGCAGCTCTTGTTGCCACTGCATGATCTGTTGCCTTTGCTTCAGCTCCTGTTGTTGCTCCTGCAGTTGTAGTTCTAGGTCTCTCCTCTGCTTCAGCTCCTCCTCCTCCTTCTTCATAATCTCTGCCTGCTCTATCGCCTTCCTCTCCTCATCTTTTTTCATCTTTATTTCTTCTTCTGCTTCCTCCCTCTTTTTCCTCTCCTGCTGTTTCTTCTTCTTTATTACCTCCTCTTCCTCCCTGCTCTCCTGCTCCTTATTCCTTTTTATTTCTTCCTCTGCCTCCTCTTTCTTCCTCCTCTGCTCCTCCTCCTCCCTCCTCTTCCTCTCCTGCTCTGCCTCCTCCAGCGGCCTGCTCTGCTGCTCCCTGCGTTGCTGCATCTCCAGCAGGTGTCTCTGGTGTTGCTCCAGCCTGCGGAGCTGGGGGCTCAACGCCTGCTGCCCAAGACTCCTTGGCGGGAGGTCGGCACAGGTTAGCTTTGGCGAGGCGATGGAGGCACAGAGAGGCTTGACGATGTCGCAGTAGGTTCTGGGGTACGCTGCGTGCTCGCGGCGGTGAGGGTGCGGTAGTGCAGTGAAGCCTGTGTGTGAGAGGAAGTGGGAAGGAAGATTACAGTAGTGTGATGTATAAACAGAAGTGACAAGCAGCAGGACAGTGACAGCAGTGCAGTGAGTACAAGCAGAAGGATGTAAGAGGGAAGGGTGTGGGGGGGGGGGGCCTTCAGAGGCTCATATTTGTGGACAGAATAGCATTAGAATTGTTAAGACAATCACAGGTGTGACAGTCGACTACAGCACCAAACTGACCGGCAGTTATTTGTAGTTTTGTACTTTGAACAAGTGACAGTGCGATATTGTTTGCAAGTTGTGAAGCAGTGGCAGTATATATTCATAGTAACCAGAAAATAGAAACCCATGGTTTCTGGGGGTGGTGACCGAGGTCAGGGTTGGGAGATTTGTGCAGAGAGCGTTTTAAACATGACTTTTTTTTCCTCTTGTAAAAAATGACACCCAGATAGTTTTTTCATGTGCAAAAATAAAAAAGCAGCAAACTTCCTGTATATGCAAACACTATCAACTAAGGTGAGAAGAACTCATCACCCGTGAATGGAGCTTATGGTTAGTCATCCAGTGATACATGCAGAAGCTCTCCATGCATTTATAGACATCCAGCATCGCAGGAAAACTGAAATAACAGCTTGACTTTAGAAGGAATCAAGTCACAGCCAGACATTTCATTCTAACCTAATCTAATTTGATGATCCTGAACAAACCAATCCATAGTAATGAGATGAAAAAAAGAAAAGTCATTATGCAACAGTGACATGCGTAAGCTAACAGTAATACATCGATGTGGATCAGTGCAGCAAGAATGCTTCAAAGAAAAAAAAAAGTCAGTAGAGAGGAGCTAAAACAGCAACACACCCAGTCGACTGGAGGGAAAGGAACGCAGCAGCAGAATGAGCAGCTGCGGGTTCTTCTTGAGACTCCACGTTGAGGTGAAAAACTTCTTCACTGCTCCAGATGCCGAAGGTGGATCCACAGATGTAAAGGTCTTGTGGTATTGACGATCAGTTCATAGCAGATTCATTCTAGTCATGTGGTTTTCAGACCAGTCAAATATTTGAGTTTGAGTTCCAGTCATATCAAGAAAAGGAAAATGTATGAGGGTGTGTATGTGTGTGTGTGTGTGTGGCAGCAGCAGAAGTAGTAACACTGAGACTGTAACTGATGACTGAGTGGAAAAATGTAATATTATGAGATGTCTAGAGCCACTGGTTGTGAGACCTTGTAATGAAAGCCAGTTGAGTTTGATTTGTCTTGAACAAAGTTCAACAGACCTTAAATATTTCTCACACTCACTTCAACAAAACTGTACGGTGAGAGAGTGCGTCATGGTAAAAAATCTAATCTTTATTTAAAGTTGTAAGGTTCAATACTCCAAAAGATGGATAAACACAACACAGGAATAAGGAAGATTTGCCTGTATCGTAAGGTAGGAGAAATCAAACATGGATACACAATCAAAACGTATCTTCAATTAACAGCTTTGTTCTGTAAAAAGTTTACGGATAAATACACATGAAAACATATTTCAACAGTTCCACATTTCTTTTTGTTAAGCCTGATTTTTTGTTTTCCCTCTTTAAGAGCTGCAAAGTCAAATCCATGTCAGTTCAGGTCAATGACATAATTCCGTGTTAAATTAAACAGAATCCAAATCCAAGACAAGCTCACACATTAGGAGTAAATAGTAGTAGCTATTGCACATACAGGAATTTAAGCCATATATTTGTAATATAAATGTTATACAGAGGGATGAGCCACTGCTCTCCTCTTTTGATTTCTTCCCTTTTTTGGCTCTCAGATTTTTTTGTTTTAACTTTGATTATATCCACCCCCAGAGATTTCAGGACAAACACTGACAACAGGAACTATAACAGTGAGATATTATTTTGGGGAGAGTAGAACAGGGTCAGAGGGAGACGAGGGACGTTATTCAGGCTGTTAGGGAGATGATGAGCTATACGTTACCTGCAAAAGAGTTCTCAGTCTTTTCACAGATTGTAGAATAGTACGGAGGCTGGATGTCGTCTGGGTTTTCCTCTGGTTTCTGCAAAGTGCACGGGGTTGATGAAACGTCCAGGGCTTCATCCGACCCTGACGCTTTCTCCTGGACGAGCTCAGTTGACCCTGCTTCCAGTTGGCGGCACTCTATGTACTGCTGCTCTGTGAGACATGGCTGGGCAAGAGGCTGTGGGATGAGACCGGGCTCCTTGGCCTCCTCAGGGAGCTCTTCTAGGGAGAAGATGCCAGGGCTCTTGATGCAGCTCTCACCGGAGGACTGGGCATTCGAGTTTGAAGCTGTGGTCATGGTGTCAAAGCCGTACGATGCCAATGAAGTTGCTGAAGGTGGGGTGTTGTCTCCCTGTGCGCTGCCCTCCTCCGTCTCAGCCTCCTCTCCTTCTTCCACAGTGGACAGGCCACGCTGCGCTAGCGGCTGGCTGTCGAAGGTCATGTGGCTGAGCGCCGGACTCTCCAAGGAGTCGTCCAGTTGTGCTTCTCCCTCTGTGTCGCTGGCCTCGTCTTCTGTCACTGAGGATGAGGAGGGATTGGAAGTGGGGGCGGTTGCGGGGCCTCCCAGGACTTCATCAGCTGGCAGGGTCTCTGCCTCCTCCTCTCCCTCCTCCTCTCCCTCTTCCTCTCCTCTGTACCTGTGTGTGCCCAGGTCAGGCTGGGGAGAAAGCATGGGGGCTTGTGCATCTTGTGGCTGGAGCTTCTCACCTCGATTATAGTCACAGAGTTCCTCAGGTGTGCTGGTCTCGCTGCTCACGGTGCTCGACAGAGACATTCCTGGGGCAGAAAGGGGAGCTAGGGCCATGGTCTGCATTGGGAGTGGGCTGCACTGGTCCAACTTCAATTGGGCCTCTAGATTTAGAGGCTCATCTTTGACAGAGGGACGATGATGAGCTTCTTGGTTGTCAATAAAAAAAGGAGCAGAGTCGAGTCCTAGCCAGGCTTGGGCTGGGGCCTGAGTTGGGGTTTCAGAGTCTGCTTGCCATGGGTCTGCCAAAGGGCTAGCTGCTGCAGTTGCTCCTGCTGGCTGAGAGACATGCTCAGGAACCTGCTGTGGCTGCAAAGACTCTGCCCAGGGATCAGCAAAGGGGTTCTGTTGGTCCCACTGAGCAGCTGGGGCAGAGGGCAGCAGAGGAGGGGCAGGCGGTGGCGGCTGGGCCACTCTGTTCAAGTTGTCCAGCCTTTCATCCTCAGCAAAGTCATCCTCATCAGCGTTCCCGTAGCTCTCCAGCCCACTCTCCGTCACCCCCTCACTAGCCATATCCACATCTTCATCATCCTCCTCCTCCTCATC